TAAACATCGAAGACTTTGCTTTGGACCACTGGCACAAATTTGGACAAAAAAAAGCCCATTAAAACAAATTTGACAAAGAGGCCCAAAACGAAATACCGAACTCAGCACTGAATGGTTGAGATCAAACTTTTTGACGATCCAACGGTCAGAACCTTTCAGCCATTCATTTAAATTCGATCTTAATTATAAACCCTAAATCTCCTCTTACCAGCCATCGTCGCAACTCTCTCGCTCCCTAGAGTTTCTCTTTCGCGGCCGCTGCTCTTCTCTACGATCTTCGTTTCCAATCAAGATGGTAAGCCCAACACGCCTTATATTATTCTGATCTGTAATACTCTATCGTTTTCTTCTCTTTCGTTAGCATATGATTCAGCTATATATATATATATATCTGTTTATATATTGTTGAAACATGATGGCAGTGGAAATCTGTTAGGATATCGAATCGAAGCGGCATTTATTTTCATTTGGGTTGGTCCAAAAATTAGGTCAGAGTTTGAACAGAGTCCATAAATTCTGTTTGTATTTTCGGAAAATGGTTGCATATGAATCATATGATAATGTTTTGAAAAAATGATGTGGTGAAATTTAAAGGTGATAGAAATAAGTTAGGGTTTCAGAGACGGATTGTGTAGTAATGGATGTTTGGTTGCTCGTTGTAACAGGTGCTTCAGAACGATATTGATTTGCTTCACCCACCAGCTGAGCTCGAGAAGAGGAAGCACAAGCTCAAGAGGCTCGTGCAGACCCCCAACTCTTTCTTCATGGTATGAATACTAATCGATTGTTGCGTATGCTTTTGTGTTTTTTGTATTTGTGTTGTTTGGTTATGAATGTTCAAGTGGGATGTTGCTCAGTTATGAAATGTTTAAGTGGGATAAGAGTATACTAATTTTGATTGTTTTAAACTTGAAATAGGATGTCAAGTGCCAGGGGTGCTTCAACATGTAAGTGTTATCTGTTTGTGCAGTTTTTTTTTAGTATTTTTAAGATTGTGCGCTAAATTGCGAAGAAAGAGAATTTTGTTGTTGTTTAGAAGTGAATTTAATGGAATTGTTTGTGCAGAACCACTGTGTTCAGTCACTCGCAAACAGTTGTGGTGTGTGGGAACTGCCAGACTGTGCTGTGCCAGCCTACCGGTGGTCGTGCCAGGCTCACTGAGGGTTGCTCTTTCAGGAGGAAAGGGGACTGATGCTCCTGCTAAGACCACTTTTGACTCATGTTAGTTTATGTGAAACGGAGCCTTTTGAAGGTTCATTTTCGTGGAAGAAAAGAAATGGGTGCTGTTGTTATTGTCAAGTTATCTAGGTTTGGGTTCCGATATTTAATTTTGTTAGAATTGTTCTGGACTTAGTATGGCAGTGCCGCGTTTTGAATTTGTTTTAATTGAGTTTGCTATTTGACATTATGAGATATCAATTACATCTTGAGATTATATATTGTTCTTGAAGCGTTTTCCTTCTCTTTTTATTTGATATCTATAAATTGCTTGTTTTGCTGTTGCAGTTTATAAATCTCTGTCTTGGGTGAATATCGTGGGAGTTCTGTAATGTGTTCTTTTACCTCTTTTATTTATACCTTGGAGGATTTGACGATCATCTCCTATCATACAGGTAGTTATATTATGCTTTCTAGGACTACTGATTTAGGTTGATCGATGGTGTTCAGCGTGCATATCTATCAGCGAAATGTAGTTTTAGGGGTGTATAGTGGGTATCATTATTGTTTAATTGCTCTGTTTTTGGGCTATATTTATGTAGCTGTTAAGTCTCATGTTGCCCATTGATTTGCGGGATAATTTGAGTTCTTTTAGTAGTTTCTTTTGGTTCAAAGAAGACCTATGACTCAGAGGCACGAGTTCAGACTCTTACCGATGAGTGGGTGAGTTAAAACTCTTATCGTGGCGGTAATCATGTGTCCGATTAAGGTAATCTCGGACTGGAGTTTGAAGTCTCCACAGCTTCAGGTTGCATGGAGTATTCAATTGCTGTCCAATATTTCTTGAGCGGTCCAATAGCTTCGGCCAGCATGGTGGTGAGGTAGTGGAAACTTAGACGGAACGGGAGAGTGAGGGAGGTAGGTGGCCCAGAGAAATGGGAGTTGCTGGCTTTATATTTTGTATGTGATTGCGGTTGGTTATTGGGTCATATGTGCTCAGTTGCAGGAGCATGATCTAGTTTTATCCTTTAAAGCTTATTAACAAGGGAACTTTAACGAAAAACTTCTGGTATTGTTTATTTGAATGAAAAATCGTATTTTTACACTAAAAAGTTAATCTTGGTACTATTTATTTTATTTTTTATTTTATCTTTATCATTAAAATTTAAAGTTTTCAAATCATTTTAGTTAGTTTTCCTATTAACAACTAGGCTCGTTGAATCGTGGTTTTTGGGTCGTTGCATATGAGAGCCTTTTTAAATTCAAAGCGAAAGGCCCGATATGCTTTACATAAACTATTTACTGTGCTTCTGTTTCCAATTGGTGCGTCTATTCGTTGTGGGGCTCATATGAGTTAACGATCATCTGTCGGTCGGTTGTGCGGGTCTCATAACTCGTTATTTAGCAACACACGGTTACACGGAAAAGATTTTTGGATGTGTGGATGAACGATTGACACCACGTTTCTCTATCATCAACGATCTTATCTCTAACATTAGGTTTTTATTTTTTTTATTTTTATTTTATCAGGTATAGAATCAAAGACTGTATTAAATGACGAGAGTGACCCCAAGTAAATGACTTTTGGAGCTTTTGCTTTGTAATGTTGTGACACTTTTCTCCCAATAATTCATCCGACTAATTACACCCAATAATTCAAGCGACTAATTACTTTAATTACTTCCAATGGCTCTACTGAGTTTCTATCTTACAATCATTACCCAATAAACAAATGTCAAAGCAAACAATCTAGTGTTTCTGTGTATAGAATAATGGGTAAATTACACTTTACCATCTTAGGTTTAGAGTTTATTACAATTGCATATAACATGATCAAAACATTTCACTTTCATACCTCACATTTTATTTTATTTCAATATAGTACATCCGTTACATTTTTCATCTATTGATCTGTTAAGAGATGACATGGCTGCCACAGTTGTGCTACGTGGCTACCAAATTTGTGTTACGTGGCAAAAAAATATTTTTTTTAATTTATTTAAAAATAATTAATTAAAGAAAAGTTATAAAAATTAAAAAAAAAAATCCATAACCCATAACCCATCTTCTTCCTCGAGACGCCCCCTTTCCCTGCAACCAAATCCCCCAATCCCACCCAACCCCACCCCCACCCCAACCCCCACCTCTGCCGCAACCCCCCACAAGGGGTTTTTTGTTTTTTATTTATTTATAACTCTTCTTTAATTAATTATTTTTAAATAAATAAAAAATTATTTTTTTGCCACATGGCACAACTGTGGCAGCCACATCAGCTCTTAATAGATTAATAGATGGAAAATGTAATGAATGTACTATATTGAAATAAAATAATAGGTGAGGTATGAAAATGAAATATTTTAAAGATGTTGTATGTAATTGTAATAGGTCCCAAACATACGGTGGTAAAGTGTAATTTACCCTAGAATAATCTGTACTTCTCCAGTTGCGCCTCACATTTGATAGCAATTTCTTGATTAAACATATGTCTTTGTACTTTGTAGTATACAACAACAACAACAATAAAATCTTATCCCACCAAATGAGTACTTAGTAGTATCTTGTTGACAAATATGTCGATGGATAATACTTGTACATAACCAGTAATTTCAAATCTTAAGTTCAAAGCGTGCTCGGACAACTTTACATGATTCTTTTCTTATGGGAGTATTGGAGTACAAATAATTTCCAATTTTTCTTGTGTAAATCTGAATTAGGAGATGATACCGGTGCACGACAGTGATGTATAGTTTGGTCGGGCAATTATTGGTGGGTCTCTACCCCAACACTAATATTAAATTTTAATTGAAAATTTGCATGTATCTGAATCTTCATATATCTTTAAGAGACCGAGTTTCCCCCAAACTTGTCTTTTAGTTTAACATTTTTATTTTTGAAAACAGCAAGGCCTGTCGTCGATGCTGCCGACATTTCGTAGGAAAACAAACACAAGCACGAAAAATAAGGCTAAATAACTAAAATGATCATTGATATTTACATAATTAATAGAAATGGTCTTTAAAATTAAAAATCAATAGAAATTGTTCCTGATATTGTTCACTATCCATGATTTTGGTCATTCCATTAAAAACTCTTTGGGCAATTTAAAAAACTTTGTAACTCAATTATTTCTTAATCAAATTCAACCCATAATATATCAAAATGAAGACACGAAAGTGTAGAGCAAGATTAAACCTATTTAGAAGCCCAATAGTTGCCGAAGATGGCCGCAAAATAGCCTGAAAGGTGATTAGTCAATGGGAAAACTAAAAACTCGCCGAAAACATGGTAAACTTTAAATATTCATAACTTCTTCAATATTCAACGAAATTGAGTAATTCAAAAACGAAAATCATACTTCTCGACGAGACGAAGATAATAGTACCTTTCTCAATGGCTAAACATTAGCTGCCGTCATTTTCTTGGAACCAATGAATTCTTATAGGGTGACAAACCACTCATTTCATATTTCAAGTTCAAAATTTGCAGTATACTTCCAATCCTCAAAAACACGATTTCTTTGAGATTGCGTGATAGTAAGGGTTTGATATTGGGAGTGGGGGTTTACTGACAAATTTTAATTGTATTGTTAATTTTATTTTGTATTATGCAATAAAGAAAAAAAAGGCAATTCATATTTAAAGTTTAAACTAGATGTAGAGATAGTTTATATGAGTTCGAATAAAATTTCCCAGACATTTATATATATATATATGGGGGTCTCTCCCATTCTCTCCCCCTTGCAGAAAACATTGTGTAAGCAGCAGTTTCTGTGAAGCCGCAGCATACAGAGCAACCTAATTTCATCTGTTCAAACAACATTTAATTTGTTACTAGATTCAGTGTCACCGTTGCCCTTATTGACTCTCCATTTTTTCTTCCTCTCTCCCCTTCTCTCCTTTTATCGAGTTAATTTTAAAGAGCTATGAGGGTCATTCTGCTATCTCATTTTTCATCCGGAACACTAGTTTTTCGGTGATCTTGGTGTGCTCTGCGTATGTAGATTATACACACTCAGAAGTTCCAGCAAACCGTGATGAACAAATCCCCCAAATTTGGACATTGATAGGGTTGTTTTTCTTGGTCGGCAGGTTACTATCATGTCTTGTTTAACGGCAAGAACAGGGCGGCAGAGACAGCGCTACGACGGTCATTTGAGGCTTGTTTCAGGGTAAACACTTCTAACACCTCTTTGTTTTTGGTCATAGATTGTTTCCTTCGTTCTCTTTCGATAGAAGGAAGCGAGTGTTTTACTGTTTACTGAGAGTATGAATCCCACGTCGGAGATTTAAAGCCTTGCCAACTCCGTCATTATGATAAATTATTGATGCTGTAGCATTTTGCATCAATTATGTCTCAAATGATTTTTTATCTTATTGTGTGGAAAAAATGAAATTTGTACTGTAGATGGTATTCAGGTGATAACAAGCTTATCTCTGGGTCCCAATGTTTTGTCACAAGAAGTTGCCAAAGACTCCAAAATTGCTTGTGGCCAACTGGCCAAGGGTTAAGTTGCTAAAGCTGGTGAAAATTGACTTGTGATAGCTCATGGCTTTATATTCCATTCAGTTATGTTCACACTTCACATGCTATATGCGGTTTTGGAAATTCCCCTTTTAGTCATTCCACACTTGGAAGTGTTGTCTAATGTGAGTTAGTAAGCTTATCATGCTACACATATACAGCTATTTTCAAATTTAGTCTTTATATAAGTGTATTATCTTTCGGAATCATCAGATAAGACATAGAAGGCAGAGACATATCTCAATTGTCGATATGTTACCTAATGGCTAAGAAACACGTAAGGATTTAAGAACTTTATCGTATGTGTATGTATGCTTATGTCTCTTAGCTATCTTTGCATTTCAATTGTTTTTTTGTATCTAGTAATGAGTTGAACTTTAGCAGGGTTTCACTTCATCTTGAGTTGACACTATAGTAAAACCCAAAGTATTTGCTTTTTACGGTTCTCTTGTTTTGTTATCTGTGATTGACAATGTTATGCTTGCAATATGGCATAACTCGGAGTGGTAACTGTTTATCTCCTCTTAAGAGGAGGATTATCTGTTATCTCTCCTTGAGACTCTCATAATTACATATTAAGAACAATAATTATGCTTATGAATACGATCGTCAACTATTAGTTTAGTCTTCATGAATAAAGGAGGAGAATGCTATAAAAACTAACAGTGTTTAGCTTGCAGTATAACTGATATAGTAGAAACGATAACATGAGTAATCTAAAGAGTCGTCATGAATAATGCAGGAAAATGTTGTAAAACTTTACGTAGATACCTTCCTCTTGTTGATTAGCCTGGAATAAGTACTTCGGTAGGCAGAGTCTGCAAGTGATTGGACTCGTAATTTCAGAATCAAACCATTTTGTTTGTGATAATGTAATTAAATCATGGAAGCTTCATATAGTATGGTTCAGTAGGTACATCACGTCATCATAATTAACTAGTTCATTCATTGTGTTGGTCCTATTGCTTATTTTCACTGGATATCCTATCCGTACGTTGTTGATGTTGTTCTTCCTTCAGAAGTACCCCTTCTCACTCTTTAAGTTTTTATGGGGGCTTTTCCTCATTCTGTATTTCTCGCATATTAGTTGAATCTGCTTGAATGGATACCTTCCTCTTACCGATTAGCCTGAACTTCAGCTACTTAGCTAGAAGAGTGTGCGGGAGCAAATGGACTCTTAATATCAAGATCAAACCTTATTGTTTGTAATATAGGCAACTCATGGAAGGTTCATAATATGGCAGTTATGGTTCATATGTATAACATGTCATCATAACGTGTTGATTCTTTGCATTGGTCCTAATCCTTTCTGTAGGGTATTCTATCTGTTATCTGTATGTCAATGATGTTCTTCCCTGAGCACCACGAGGGTTTATCGAGGACTTCTATAACATTTCCCTTCTATATTTCCTTTTCAACCAGCTACACTGTCACACGTTAATTTGGAAGTTTTTGAGGGAGTTATGGTTTTAACTTTCTATCTGGTGTAAAAAATAGGTGTATTCCTTATAAGTTTGAAAAGATTGCTGGCGGTTGCAATGGCAATATAGAGCAAAAATTGCTTGTTCTCATGATTTCTTCACCAAATCGGGATGATCTTGTGTTTCCAAAGGTATTTATCTTCCTTCTTTATTTGCTCTAAAAGCTCTAATTTGGTCGAATATTAAGCATAAAAAAAACCTTTCGATCAGGGTGGATGGGAGGATGACGAAACCATGAGGGAAGCTGCCTGTCGCGAGGCCTTGGAGGAAGCAGGAGTGAAGGGAGTTCTTCGTGTAGGTTTCTCTTCCCCTGCTTGGTAACAGGCACGGACACCTTGGCACTTTAAATTTCAAATGCAACAGAATTTGTACCTGGACATCTAAATTTACACATACTCTCATGTACCCTATTGTTGTAATGGATTCTCACTTCATGTGTCTATAGTATTGGAAGTCTGTTTTCGTGGTTTTACACGATCTTCGTTTGTACATTTTTAATGTGATTACAATGTCTCATGCATAACACTGAGACTGATCATGATTCTCTACATAAAATATGATCAACTTAATATAATACAGACTCTGAGACTCAAGTAAATAAATAAATTTCATATTTGCTTCCAGGATAATCCACTGGGAGTTTGGGAGTTTAGAAGCAAGAGCAAACAGAACAGCTGCAATCTGCAAGGAGGTTGTAAAGGTTTCATGTTTGCAATGGAGGTGACTGAGGAGCTTGATTCCTGGCCCGAGCAGGCTAACTATGGAAGGAAATGGGTGAGTTCTATACACTGATGCAATTTTTTTTGGTCCACCAGATAAAATACAAGGAACCAGTTGAAAGAAGCATTAAAATTTGTAACCATTTTAGCTAACTCTTTGGCATGATTATAAGCGAGGACTTCATATAATTTGTTGGTTGTAACCATTTTCAGCTCACCGTAGAAGAAGCATTCAGATTCTGTCGTTATGACTGGATGCGAGAAGCGCTAGGAAAACTTTTGACAACCCTATCAGAAAGCAGGGAGAATAACACAAGAAATGAACTGGAAGAACTTCCTTTGAGGCCAATCTCCGAAATTGGATCAGAACATCCAATGTCCTCATCACCGGTGTGCTTTGCTAATCATTCCAGTATCCACAGCTTGCAGCTTAAAAATTTAACCAGAAAAATGAACTGTACAGGATTGATCAATGATCACAGGTCATGTAAAAATCCCTTGTTCTGAAATTGTTGTATTTTTTATAGTAATTATGTTTATTTTTAAGTAAGTTTGTTCAGATCTTCTCATTTGTACAAACCTGTAATCAAATCAAGGGTTGAGAACCCTTATATTATATACTTGTACAAATATTTATAATTTGCTTTAGAAATGCTGCTAAATGCTGGCACAATGCAGAAAACGAGCAAAACAGATAAAAGCCAAAAAAAATCTCAAACTCCGGGAATGATCTTCAAACACGACAAGAAAATTTCAAACCTCCACACGGTCCTCCAGAACTCGAATCCTTGCAAAAATGCTTGAGCAGAATACGACAACATTCACCCTTGGCAGAAAAATCTTTGTTTAATTGATCTTTTTGGTTAATTAGTTTTAGTTTAATAGGGGTTTAATTCGGAAGGCCGCAGGGGTTAAATCAACTTTGTACTTCTCCCCTTCCGTATCTCAATATTCTTAGACGACTATGTGAACTCGTGCATTGACGAAGATCTTTTGCTTCACAATTAGCCTCGAGAGCAAGCTGAAACAAGAAGTTTTTCAGTATGATTATTACATTTTTATAATACTGTCGCTAATATATGTGTTATAATATAAAAAATAAAGACATTATTAATATTTAAGGACCTATACCCAAGTGTTTAAACATGAGTCAACTAGTAACACTATGTGATAGTATAATAACCACACCTCCTTTCAAACAACTAGAAGAATATATATGATTATGACAAAATTGGAAAAAATCAGATGACCTTGCTTGACTGTCAAATCTTCATGTTGTGTTACTAATCTACTCATTAAAGTACAAATAAATGGCCATGTTAATATATATGAGCTACTTATTAACAGATGACAATGTAAAGTAAACACTTAAAAAAATTTCACAAAATAAGATTTTTTTTTTTTAATAAACGATATTATCTACACTAAGGGGGAGGGGGTGAGCTTTGCCTCACAATGGGCTAGCAATAATGTGGTTGAAATTTCCATTTGGCGAAAATTAAATCTATGACCTTTCACTTACAGGTGAAGAGGAACAAGTTAGAAAAATACATATGACTATGACCCAATGGGAAAGGATCAAAGGACCTTGTTTGTGTGCCTAACTCAACTTTGTCCTAGTTGTCTAGATTGTTGAACTGACACCCTTATCAAACCCTTAAACCATTCCATGTTACACGGGGAGGGTTCCTTAAATCTTTGACTCTATACCTTTCTTTCCAACACATCTTTCCATTCACACATCTGTTTTATTTGTACCTTGAAATTGGAGATTCATGGGATTCACAAAATCCAACTTGCCCTTTATTCGAGTTTTCTTTGACTTTTGACACTTAATTTTCTTCCCCCATGAAGCCACTATTCACCTACTAATTAGTTCTCAACACCACCCACCATTCATGATAAATATATCAAAACTTCTTGTTGTTGTTTTTTTCTTTCTGTTTTCTTACACCAATAAACTAATTAATATTAAAGCTTTTTTAAAATTATTCTAACACACTAGTGACACTCTAAACTTAGTTGGCTAATTTATTTTCACTTGACGTTGAAAGTTATATATACTCTATAGATTTACAATCTACGCATGCATGATGTCTATATGTCACATTTTATGTGTTGTTTTTAGAACAAATTAAATGATTTTTTTTTAATCAGATTGTGTATTTGTGGGATTCTTTTAGACGAAAATAACATTACAAAGACAAGTTCCTAGGGCAAGAAGAGCTAGTAAAATCTCATAACCAAGCCGGACGAGCCTTCGCAGGCCGTAAACGATACACCACCGGATTAGAAGATGACAACCCATCGAAGTTAAAGTAGCTACAACAAAATTAGTCTCACAAAAAAACATGGAGAACAAAATACACTGAAAACGACCATATTAATTGTGTACGTTTTTTTTACCGAATTTGTATTTGTTTGAACACAACATGTAAATAAAATAGATATTCTTAACCATGTAAGTTATGCATAACTCAAGTGGATAGGATGTTGATCTTCTACCATGTTTTTCGGGTTTGAAACTACCCCTTTATCTTTTAAATTATTGTAATAATTTTGAACCATTTTCCCTCCCTTAGTAATAATAAATTATAAAATGTATAGAGAAAGCACATGGGTTGGCCATGCCACTCAAATGCTTAAGAAAACGATGGACTATATTTTATTGATTTAAGACTATTTAGCATATGATTGCAGATACCGACTAACCTATAAAATTTGTCATCACAAAACCATCGATTTTAAGGTGCTTTTGCAGAATCTCTCTTTCTATATGTTTTCTGAATTATTTAATTAAAATGGAAGCTAGGAAGCAGGAACGATATGTAGTTTGTGTTGTGTCAGTCATGACTCATGAGTCAAAGTGAGAGACCAATATCTCCGTCAGAAAATGCACCATAATAATATTGCCAAATATCTAAGAAGAATACCATCTTATAGAATAATGGTGATCAATCGGCATTAAGCCTTGTTTGGCCTACTAAAGTTCAGAAATCTGTGTCCAGGAATCACGAAGGGCCGATTTATCTCTATCCTTGGTGCAATATATCTTTCCACTTTCTTGATGGTACGTAATTAATTAGTTATAATCTTTATTTTTGCAATATAAATATTGAAAATTTAAACTCTCAATTGAAAGGAAGATTGGATGACATGCTAGATATCATACTAGCCATATTTTAATTATGAAAAGGCTCACCATGTTAGATTTGTGTGGTCACTCGAAGGGGATCTGGGACCAAGTAGGGCAAATTAGGACATTGATATTTAGGTGGAACCCGAATAATAAACTGGAAAGACAAAGTTAATTACGTTAGTTTTCAGTATATAAAGTGAGATAATATCAAACGTGTTAAAACCCCACTTCAACCTTTATTTCAACTTACGTGGTTGTTGCCTTAAGTTTACAATTAGTTGTCTCTCTTTTAAAGTGGATGCAAATGTTTGACCTATTTGTGACTAAGGCTCCCTCCAATTTGTACAGTCTATAAGCTCCACTTTTGCAATAGGGTAGCAATATGATTCTCATTAGAGTGAACATGCACACATGAACATCAAAAGATTGTTTAATAGTCTTTATTGAGTGACGCAAGAATGTCTATGACTATTAAGTTTGACATTAAAATTTAAAAACACAACGTCGTAAAATATTTAGAATATCACATTAAAAATCAATCAACACTAAATGAGGAGATCAACCAGTTTCAAATATATTGTTATGCATTTCCCATGAAAGACAATTTCTGTAACGATCAAGGTGACTTAATTCATCGTTGAAAAGGAAAATTGTTCGGTTAAAAAAATCTGGATTTGATTGTTGTTATCATTCTAGAGGATAGTCATACTCTGTAATTTTCGTGTGAATGTCCTACTTCTTTAAAAAGAAAATGTGAATAACTTATATGAGAAAGGGATAATGCTATGGATACAAAATTTGAAACAAAATTTGCAAACCAAATGATGTGCCACCAATAAAAAATAAGCACGTTAATCAACACTTAAGTAATAATTCAATCATCAACATCCACATCATTTGGTTTACAAAATTTGGTTTAGAAATTTGATCTCCTTAACATTACTTTTAAGTAATAAGAGTAATGCTAGAGAGACTAAATTTGCAAACTAAATGATGTGTTACCAATAGAAAATGAGCACGTTTATCAACGTTTAAGTAATAATCCACTCATCAACTTCTATGTCCTTTAGTTTTCAAAATTTAATCTCCCTAGCATTATTCAAGGAGTAATACTATTCATACATGTTTTTATACCACATTTCTATATCACCTTATGTGGCATCTGATCTGGATTTGCAAAACCCAAGGAAATGAAAGAGAAAGACTTATCGTATACCACAATCATCATTTAATTAACTAGTTTTTCTTAATTATTAGTTTATTAAATAATGAACTAAATTTAAAAATCTGATTAATTCAAATAATATGACTGTCCACATCAAATACCACGTAAGATGGTATGAAAATGTGGTACAAAAACATGGTATGAACAACATTACTTTTATTCAAGTAATAATCCACTCATCAACATCAACACTTAGGTAATGTGTTTTTGCATTCTACCATATGGTTTCACACCCAGCCATGAGGCATGCATCAACAATTTTTGGAATATTAAGTTGTTAATTACCAATCCACAATTAGCACAAGTTACAAGACGTTGTTAGAAAAAATATTTGGAAGGATAAGACAGAAGAATAAGATATGTGGATCTTAACTGCCACCCTCACTAATCATTAATTTAGATTAAGCTGACTAATCTGTTCATTAACGTATTTACATCTTACAGTACTTTTTCTTTCCAGTTTTCGTTATCCATAATCCAATAAATTGGTCTTAAATTGGATTTCAGGTAAAATAACTAGCACTAATTAACCTAAAATATCTAAGTAACTAAAATTACAAAGCACTGTGTACCGAAAGGCCAAGGAAAATGGGTCCCATTAGGTCAAGTTTTCTTCTATTACGTAGGTCTTTCCTAGTGATTGTTTTTCTTCAAAAAGCAACGCCCTTTGTGTCCCCTCACATGCAAACCAACATTGCTTTCCTTCAATGGAGGTCTATCTGCTTGCAGCGTGTTCAATGTTCATCTTCATGAGCAATGAAGGATGCTCCAAACTCACCAAAATATAAAAGAGGAAAAAGCCCATTCCACGGAAATAAACGAATTATGAAACAAAATTTTTTGTTTGAAAAGTTGGGAAAGAAGGTGTGGAACATATGATTATACTATGTATAAGCTCCAATTGGATCTACGTGGCTGAGAAAATTATATTCCCCATGTTGTTTCATATACCTAAAAGTCTCCCTATGCTGTATAGAGTAACATGACCCTTTTTGCAATTGTAATTATATTATTTATGACTAGCTTTCATGCACGCATTCATGCGAGCGCAGAAGGTATTTTTTGAATTACGGCGTGCTACACGTGATTTACACGTTTTAAATGTATTTATATGTGTAAATTGACAAAAGGAAAGTCAAATATTTGAAGTAAATGAATAATCTTAGATCATGCTAGAAGAAACCTCTCATAAACCAATTAATATAGCTGAATTCACATAATAAAATCGGTCTCTATAGAATTTACAATAAGAATAGAGAAAATAATATTTAATGAACAATTGATTGAATCATATTATTGGTAGCCTATTGTGAGGCTAAGCCCATCTCCTCCTCCCTCTTAGTATAAATAATATCTTTTGTTAAAAAAAAAACAATCATTTGACCACTAATTTAATCACATTATTATCCGCATGCGAAAAGACTTTTTTATATCAACATTACACGCCTCTCAAGATGTTTTGAACGTGTTTAAAAATAGAGAAAATAATATTGAATGAACAACTGATTGAATCACATTATTGTTAGCTCATTGTGAGACTAAGCCCACCCCCTCCCCCTTAGTGTAGATAATATCGATTGTTAAAAAAAAAAAAAACAATCATTTGACAACTAATTTAATCACATTATTACTAGCCTATTGTAAGACTAAGCCCATCCTCCTCCCCCTTAGTGTAGATAATATCGTTTGTTAAAAATAAAAATAAAAATCATTTGACAATTAATTTAATCACATTATTATCCGCGAAAGACCTTTTGTTATAACTGGCATTACACACCTCTTAAGATGTTTTAAATGTGTTTAAAATAGAAAAATTGAATCATATTATTGCTAATCTATCGTGAGGCACTAATTAAAAAAAAAGCACAAAAAAAATTAATTATTAAAAAAATACTGTGAAAATGATGAAAATGCCCCTGTTTTATTTGATGCATTATTTTTGGATGCCTTTGAGGTTTTTTATGTTGGGGGCATTTTTGTCCTAATATTTTTGTTGAAGCTTGGTAACACCAAAATCATTATTCACTTTTTCATTGACTTCATATATAGATTATCTATGTATATATAGGACAATATCATTTGCCTATTTGCGTGATAATATAATTTAGACTGTAAATTTAAACTATACATCAGATAAAAGCTTACTTAATCGATGCAATTGATTTGGAACGATCTAGCATGTTAGAAAGAGATTACGAAATATTTTGTTTTCATATAGTTCGACAATTTATGTCCATTTTACTTGAAAGTGAAACTAAAAGAAAGAAAATCTTGGGGATGATCTAAGTATATATGCTCGAAAAGATAAAGGTGGTATTAACATGCATGGTGATTTGCATGATTGCATTGGGATGATCAATGATGTGTACTGACAATTGAATGATCACGGGAACGATGATTAGAGATTTGAGATGTATTGAGCAATCATATGTTGCAGGTGACTCCTTTTACAAAGCCTTTCGGTTTTGGATATATAAAACTTCTTCTCAGGCGTGCATGCTGATAATACAATTTGATTTGATTACTACAATAGTGTCCATGATTAGGAGAGATTTTAAAATAACAGGTTTTGAATTTTAATCTTTGCAGAAGATTAAAATTTAATAAAAACTTAGTCCTAGATTGGATATTGATTTTAGTTATTTAATAAGTACTTAATTCAAATTCATATTATATTTTTGTTTTAATATTTAACAAATATCTTATTTAATGTCATTACATTAAATTTTAAATTTACTATTATACACATTTTAATTCATTAATTTTATTTAACTTTCTCTAATTTGTGTACCTAAACATTCGTATCATAATATATTATACTAAATTAGTGTATAGAAATATCTGTACCTAAATATATTGTAATGAATTAGTGGCAGGTAAGAAAATATGCAAAAACATTATTTTCATAAAATTTAATTTATGAACACCAAAAAATTATAATAAAAAGAGAAATTGAATACATATGCTGACATTAAATAGATTTAGGGACTAAAATCAATTTTTGTATAAGACATTTTTCTAAACTGTATCTTATTTAAGGATTAAAATTTAGTTTTCTAGATTTTTTAATGTATCCAGAACACTGGATGGTACTCCATATGTTATTATACAAGTGGAATAATTTTTTTTTTACAAGTGTCCCTCTACTTTATAATGACATATAGTATATGTGTCAATGTTCGAGGTACACTAAAAAAATCTATTAATAGCCCATCATACATTCAAAAGTCAGACTCTCTCTTTCTCCTTCCTTCCTAAGGCACATGCAATCAAACCTTAGGTTAGATATGATAATATGAACTTTGAGAGTACTACATTATAATATTTAATCCAATTGAAAATGTGTTCCTAATTATTAAGAACATGAACTTGCAACAAAGTTACAGGAATCAACACACAAGGATAATAATGGCCATAAGTTGCTAATCATGCATGCCAAGTAAACAAGATAGCAAATGTATTATTAGTACTTATTCAATCAATAGGAAATCTAATGCATATATTGCAAAGGTTCCGCGCGCGGTGATTTAATCAGGGTTTTGTTTAAATAAACTAGATTTTAACAAATAAATTAACAAGGGATAAAGTTGCTGTCAGCAGCAGGCATAAGGATCCTCTTCAGATTCTCTTTGTGAGGATCTTAGAGCAGTTCCACTGAGGCTTGGTTGCCCGGCACCCAGTCCAAAAAATGGATTGGCCTCTCTCATTTCTGCTCCACCCTAGCGTAATAGGTTGGCACCCAGCCCAAGCCAGGCCATAGGCTGGCCCAAAATCGACAGACTTGTTGACCAGCCCATCTGACGCCAATGTTGTGTCAGAGGCCGTTTGAATTTTTTTTTTTTTTTGCGCCAGGCACGTGGGAAGCACACACAACTGGGTGCGCGTTGCTGACAAGAATCCAGAGCCGAGACCCATTTGCGCAGGTACACTCAGCTCACTGATAGGGAGGCCACGTGGCCGATCTTGGGCCGTTGGATTTCTAACGGCTAGTTTTCTGGATCGTTGGATTTCCAACGGTAAAAAAATTTGAATTTGAATTTTGATCTGGATTGTTCGATCACAGATCAACGGTCCAAGTTTTTCCCCCAAAAATTTAAAAAAAAAAGAAAAAGAAAAAAGAAGGCACAACGGTCAGAATTATGACCGTTGCCACATGTCAACTTATAGGCTGTTCGATTTGAATATTTTTCAAATCCAACAGTCCTAGATTAATTACCTAAATTAAAAATTATTAAAAATTGTTAAAAAATACAGAAAAAATTTAAAAATTTAATTTATTTTTCCTATAAATACCAAACCCTCATCTTCCACCTTACACCATATTTCAATATTTTCAACACTTTTTACCAAACCTTTCATATACTTTTTGTGTGAAAAAAATACCAAGAACCTCATCCTTTTTTTTTTGTCCATATAAACCCTACATCCCTACATCCATCTTCATCGTTTTCAAATCTTGAGTTCTTACCATGTCTTCTTCAAGGAGAGTGTATAAACAGCTTGAGGAGCAACAGAAAAGATTGTTGGCACAACAGGAATAATTGGTCAATCTCGAGGAAGGTGGAGGTGGAGATGAGGCTTTCGCAATGGAGAAGGATGATGATGATTATCATAGAAGGCAGAGGGTCTCACATTCCCACTGTGTAATGGAAGCTATGAGTTAGATATCCAAACTCAGACGTGCTGCAAACTTTGATAGAAAGAGGAAAAAACGAGGTATAAATCTCTTGGAAGATTATTTTATCCCCAATTGTGTATTCCTTGATCTTATTTTTGACGTTGTTTTAGAATGCAACAAAGTTTGTTCGACAAAATCATGAGTGCTATTTGCAACCATGATCAATACTTTGTGCAAAAAAATGATGCTTTTCATGTTCTAGGTCTTCTTCCTAAGCAAAAAGTTACTGCTGCATTGCGGATGCTTGCATATGAAGCATCTGCAGATCAAGTGGATGGGACAACGAGGATGGAAAAATCAACTGTTCTAGAGTCTCTGGTGCGGTTTTGCTCCGCAATCGAAGCCCTCTATACGAAGGAGTACCTCCGGAAATCGACGTCTATGGATCTACGAAGGCTATTAAGGAAGGGTGAGATGCGAGGCTTTCCTGGCATGATTGGAAGCATCGACAGCATGCATTGGACCTTGAAAAACTGTCCAAGTGCGTGGCCAAAAACGTGTGACGACAGAAAATAAGCCAAAAGTATCATTTTGGAAGCGGTGGCTTCATTTGATACATGGATTTGGCATGCATTTTTTGGTGTTCCAGGAGCTAAGAATGACATAAATGTCCTTGCCCAATCTCTAGTGTTCGACGAATTACTGCAAGGAAAAGCACCCAGAGTCACATATTCAGTCAATGGCCATACATACGAACAATTGTACTAACTTGCAGACAACATTTACACAAGGTGGACAATGTTTATCAAAACAGTCCCACATCCACAAAGTGAAAAATAAAAACACTTTGCAAAATGTCAAGAGGGGTGTAGGAAGGATGTGGAACATTGTTTTGGTATCTTGCATGCTTGTTGGGCAATTGTCAGGTCATCTGCCAGAATGTTTAATGTTGAAGCACTTCAATCCATCATGATGATGTGTATCATTCTCCACAACATGATTGTGGAAGATAAGTATGATTATGATGTCGTCGACGAATAGGAGCCGGACACAATGAACAACTCAAGAACACGTATCTATTGTGCTCATGATGGCACTGAAGATCCCATGCAACACGAGCCATTGGAACAGGATGAACGTTACAATCAATTGACCGCTGAGCAATACACTTCATTGCAAGAGCCATAATGGCACTGTATCTGGCAAAGTGACTTGATTGAGCACCAATGAGGATTGCAACAAGGTCAAGATATTAAAAGGATCTTGTGGTGGAACAATAAAGTTCTTAGTTTATTTAGCGTGTTTCTTATACATCATACGATCAGCTTTTGTTAAGTACTATTTTGTTTAATTCTAAATAAAAAATTCAAAATAATATATAACAATATGATATACGATGAAAAGATAGAATGCAAGAATCTTCAGAGAACAATAGTCTCCAGGGTGCCCTCAGCCCTGGATAATTCGCCCCTGGCAGAACTTACATGATGTCACTCATACAAAAAAGGTGGACCCTAATTTTCAGATGATTAGCATGCGCGAGTGTGAGAGAATTGAGATTGGTCATCATTTGACAACTTAACTCTGTAAATGTAAGGAGGAATTTTAGTGCTTAAAGCATATTATAACATAGAAATTTGACATGATTAATAGATTTCACTTTTAATGTATATTGGCTAAAAAAACAAAAACTATGTTATAACTTCAGCGAAGCGACAAAATCATGTGGTGGTTTTCCAATTACATCAAAAAATCACTATAACACAAGATTAATATATCATTAAATTAATTAAATAATAACACAATAATCTCCCTTATTTAAACACCCCAACATGCAACGGACGAAAACCCAAGAAGCCTACAGTCATTCCCTTCTCTAAAAATTCTAGTAGTCATCACTGACATCTCTATCCAACGCATTATCTCACAGACATTTGAAGAAACACTTCTTTCTTTTTCTTCATATTGTTTTTCAATCAAATTAAATCCATGGACTTCTTCACCAACTCACCTTCTAAATCAAACAACTCGCCACCTTCTTCAACCAAAACCAAAAGAAAGCAACAACAGCAGCAAACCCAGCAACCACAACAAACCCAGCAGGAGACTAGGTTTCTTGGAGTGAGGAGAAGGCCGTGGGGCAGATATGCGGCCGAGATACGAGACCCTTCGACCAAAGAGAGGCATTGGCTCGGAACCTTTGACACGGCGGAGGAGGCCGCCTTGGCCTACGACCGATCCGCTCGCTCCATGCGCGGTTCCAAGGCTCGAACCAACTTTGTCTACTCGGACATGCCACATGGCTCGTCTGTCACCTCCATTATCTCACCCGAGGAAGACGTGTCAGCGTTCTTCACCACCTCACTTCCCCAAACCCACGCCCAATCCCAAACACACACTCAGCAGTCCTTCACTCATCAGGACCCATTTGATGCCTACTCATTCTCTGGAAGTTCATCAGCAGAGAATGAAAGCGGGTCTTACGTGCCCGCTTTTGGTGTTGTTGCTGATGAATCCGGGTCCCAGTCTCAATCTCACACTCACGAGCTACCACCTTTGCCTGCTTGTGTCTCCTCCTCCACTTGTTATGGGCCCGAAGGCGGCATTATGAGCTTTGACGGAGTTGGGAATGAGTCAGGCTTTTACGAGTTTTCAGACCCCACGACAAACAATGGACTGGACTCATTGGTGAGTGGGTCCTATGTGGGCTTTGACTCGAACGAGTTTGTGCAGCACAGCCCATTGTTTGGGAGCATGCCAACAGTCTCCGAAGCGGGTATTGATGGGTTTGATTTGGGTTCATCCTCTGCCTATTTCTACTGACTTGGTTTTAGTAAATCCATCTGATCTACAAGTGTGGTTTTTTACTTTCTTCTTTTTTTTTTTTTTTTGGTCAACTTGTTTTGTGTTGTGATGGGCCAAAAGTAAGGGCGCCTTGATGAAATTGTAATGGTTATGCCCTTTATATTGCAAGAATGTGAGCTTCTTCGAGAGTGAATGTTCATATGGTTTGGTTTGGTTAGTCAGGTGGGTTATTTCAAACAATTTTGGAGTGAACTCGGAACCTGTTATGATCCTCTTGAGAATGCTTTTGTAAGGGCTAGTTTGAAATTGTTGTGCTGTGAAAAGAAAAAAAATGTTGTTTTCAGAAGTACGGGTCAAGCTGCTTTTGCTTTATGGTGTTTGGACTCATGGTTTTGACATAAAACTTTTTCTTTTTTTTTTTCATTTACCAAACATAATTTTAACCCTAACTTTTTTTAAAAACTGATTTTAAAATAATTTCAGTAATGTCAAACCAGACTTATGCTAATAAGCAATTTTTATTGGAGGCCTACTTTTTGTTAATTCAAGGTGTTTTTATAATCCAAAAATATCTTCAAGTTTTTTGTAACCCTACAAGACAAGTGGACAATGCTTGCGCTGCCCTAAACTTTTTAAAAACAGTCATATAAACTCCTATCGTTTAAGCAACGAATCATTTACATTGGCAGAACATATTAAACAAATGACACATAATTCACATCCTCAACGTTGGACCTTACAACTTGAAGATCCGACTTCCTCTACAATAAGCCTATTACAAGGTCCCACATTGATTTACCTATTCATGACAATGGACATGCAGATCACGTGCAGAACTTGTAACTATTCAAAAGACAATAACAATGGACACACATATCATCATATGCATGCATGCCTTCCATTAAGTTAATTCTCTTCCCAACTATAGCAATTCAGAGCTTGTGATTCATATGGTAAACCAACTATAGCAATTAACGTATGATCAGTAGGGGTTGCTATCTTGGCACAGTGCCATCTACAGCCGTTTGGATAGGAGTCGAACCGTCTAAATAGGAGTCGGAGTGGACCATTCTCATGCCATTGCCAATTAGCGGTCAAGCAAAAGCCACGACCTCCCTAATCCCTCCCTATATAAGTGTACGTGTTTGTCACCCAAAGGATATATATAGTGCAGGTAAACATCATCATTTCATCCTAATTATATGTTGAGCCAGAATCTTGTTAACTGTTGAGTCTACCAAAATTCAGGGCAATCGTAAGTCTACCAAAATGGCTTTCAGGGCAATCGTAAGTCTACCAAAGTTCTTCTTTTCGATCATTTGTTTTGTTTTATGACGATCCCCTTGATTTGATTCGACTACCTTAATAACGTGATACATTAATTATGATGATGTCAATTGGTGAAATGATTAATTAATGTGGGTTTGTGTAGAACGAGTTGAGATTAATGCTGGCTCCGGCGGGAGGGAACCGAGCTTTTGCAACCTCCGCCGCTCCGAAGATGAAACATTTTGCAGAAAATGTTCGTGATAGTGAGGCTGCTCAGTCTACCATGTCGAACATCTGGTATATATATTGAAGTGTTTAAGCGATAACTAGTTAGAAATGAAGATTGATGATGATAAATAACAAGTGGTCATGGAATTTTATATGTTACGCATATTAACTAGTTTATGTATGCAATCGATCCAATCAGGAAATTTCTTAGAAAGCCAGAGAACGCACCCGTTGCTGTGCTGCTAGGGTTCCTAATTGTGCCTCTGACGATTGGGACGCACAGTGCTCTACAGCAGCTCATGCATGCCCCGATGGTTGTGGTCAACAAGAACAAGAGGGCCATGTACGAGGTTGACAACCCAGATGCTGCTGTTAGCTCATCCGACAAGTTTATCAACAAATCTTTCCTGAGGAAGGTTGGCCACATTCAGGAGCCCGGCAGGCCATCCATGCCTGATTCAGTCCAGCATGACCCTTTTACTCGGTATACATACATACATAAATATATGCGTGCTCGTAATTTTTTATGCACGAATTATTCTAATTGTAGAATGTTTATATTGGCTGATAAAAAATCTGGCAAAATAAATGTTATGTTGATTTGTTAATATTTCTAAATATTAGGCATCCAAATAAGAATTATTAAATTGATCAATGATTTCGTTTTCCATAAACATCTTATATTGTCTAATTGAAACATTTTTTGTGGATTGTAATACTTTCGTACATTATCCTAACGAAGGCTAGCTGTTGGTTGAAACTTGCAGGCCTCGCACGGCGGCGACGCTCAAAACAGTCGGAGTGGATCCAAGCCGTCGCTAAATGGGATTTTCCATCTCAACAAATTACAAATACTTCCTAGTGTGTCTCTAAAAATTTCTATCTATCCCAAATGGTCCCGTTAGAATCCGATTATTATGACGTGTGACATTGTAAATAGCTTAATTTTGGGCATATGTTTTTCCTTTTCCTCTGTTCATAGCTTAATTTTGTTGCAATGCACAAAAATATGTCATATGGGTTATGAAGCCCTCCCTTCCTCGCTAGTAAATTAATTAGAGGTGAGAGGCTCCCATTTTTGCTTGTTTAATTTATTGATTTGTTCTAATAAACAGAGACACCGTATAATTATAAATTTATAATATTTGCATTGCTTTTGTATCTGATATATGTAGCTTGGTAAATTAAAAGTATTTTGCAAGAATTACAAACCATCCAATTCCAAATTCCAAACCCTGCATGTCAAATTAACCAAAATATGACCCTGATTTGGGTACCAAACTAACGCAGATCATGGAGTTGATCAATGAGTAAAACAACGATTAATAAACAAAATTTAATTGTAAAGGTCCCTTATGTAGCCATCATATATGAAAAGGTCGAAAAGGGTTCAGAGTAATGTTCCTTCCCAGTGAGACTGCACTAATGAAAAGAATTACAAAAGGTTTTTGTTGAAAGCATTTGTTATTATTTCAAAACGCGTTAAAGCACTTTTGTTCAACTAAAAATGAAGTCCTTGCATTTTTGGTTATTTGAGAAAGGTTTTAGCACTTCTGGTCAACTGTAAAAATAAGATAGTAAAAAATTAGTAAGGGGCCAATCAACGGTTCAGATCCCTTCAACCGTTGACAAAAAGAACCATTTGCATGATGTGAGATCTGGCTTTAGCATCATCAACTAACTTTCAGTGTCTTCATTAACTTTCAATTCTTCCATAATTGGTATTATGGCTTAGCATCATTAACCCTTAACTCTAAGGAAATTTTAATCTACAGCCAGTTTGTGAACTAGATCTCCATGGCTTTGTTTTTTTCCACCACAACGGTGTTGAGCATTTACTGAACCGGCATTATTAATGGTTAGTCATGCTCTTAGTCCAAGAAGAAAACCAGCACAACGATTTCATAGTAAGCTAAGGATGTACTCATCGTCGTTATGACCCATCATGCTCTTCCGTTTATTTTTTATTTTTGAATCACATGAACTACAAACTTCTTAATTTTGAGATACTGACTTTTATCTATCCTCGACAAGTTCCGATCTAGCAAGAAATAGTATCGTTTTTTTTTTTTTTTTTTTTTTTTTTTGAAAAATTTGATAATATTTTTAGTTAGTGATTCAACCCGAGCAAATCCCAATAATCAACATTTTGTCTGTGCTAATGCGTAATGTAGAGTTTTAGGATATATTTGTTGTCTAGCGTTGGCATCACTTGGATAATTCACTAGATCCAATAAATGAATAAAAATATAGAGGTCAACTTGCATAATTTGTCCAAAAGATGGTAGAAGATGGAGAAGTGATGAAGAAAATTATTAAATTTTCTCTCCTATCATTTTGTGGGAATTAGGTTGGATAAGTTTTCTTCATAATTTCTCCATCTTTTACTTTCGTTTGGCCTCCTTATTTTCAATTCAACAATCATGAAATCTAATGAATGATCAAGCCAAAATCCAAAAGTGCAAAATAATGATTTGTTTCTTTAATATTGACAAAAAAAAAAAAAAAAAAACTTATTTCTTCAATAACTTGTCCCAAAAATAACTTTGCTTATGAATTTTCCTCAATCAATTATCAAATATTAACCTGACAACAATTTTTAATTAGAATGACATGAAACCAATCCCAATTATGAGCTTTTCCTAATTATATTCTTATGAACCTAACAACATTTCTTTTGTTGGTACATATCCTAAGACCATTTTCATAGATTCGGATTCTCACTTCTCTTTTTGTTATATTAAATAATCCTACAAAGCATTGCATCATTGTATTTAGGTTTGCATGTCGGGCACTTGTTGGAATCAAAGATTATATAATGTTATCGTCGATCATAATTAGAAACTTAGAAAACTTGACAGACTTATTTGATATGCTATTGTACACGTATATGAAATGTGTTTTTATGTCCATTTGTCGTGCAACTACTAGCTACGTGTGGCAAGATTAAACGATGTACACCTACAACTATGGTCCTACTTTGAGAGAGACTATTTTTACGGCTCAATGAACCTTACATCACCAGATGGCTTAACAAAAAGTCTTAGCTTGGCGCGAAGTATGGATTTCCCTAGGCTACGTACGTTGACAGAGGAAACTAGGGGCCGGAGACACTTTCGTCACTTCAGAAAAACTAGGGGTTAATTCGTGTTTAATTTGCTAAGAATTTTTTAAATACAAATGCAGCTTAACAAGTGTTCAAGTTAGTCAACTACACAAAGCTTGTTGTCACTACCTATTTACATTGATCTAACTAACTCCATTCAAGGCAGTGTTTCTTTTTCTTTTATTTTATTTTTGAAAAAAAAAAAAAGAACTCATCTTAGGAAATGGGAGTCTAAAAATACGTATATACACATACTATACATGTAACTAGCTTGTCAGATTTTTACTTGCGTCTTTAAGTATAATTAAAACTCAAGGGTTGATAATTGGTAGAAGATAGTCATCTAAGAAGATTTTCTTTGCTCGTTTACACGTTTACACGGTCACCTTAATTTGGAGGCTGGAACCGAGGATATCGATGCGTCGGATATACTCAGTCAATTTGGAGGCTGGAAAGGTTTCCATGACTAATCCTCATTGCTCAAACGTAAGTCTATATTAATCTAACCCTAATTTCCTGGATTGTCAGAGCACTTGGGCACCGGCCGAAGAGGAAAATGAGTCTGTGCAGGAGGCAATGTAGAAAAGTAGTGTGTATCTTATGGGAGAGGCACAAGTGGTGGCAGAAGAGAATATTTCCTGGTTCAAGAGGATTGTTGTCAACTAGGTGTACTATTTCTTGAAGAAAAACTTTAGGCAAACTGAGGAGAAAATTTTCATTGTGACGGAAATACGGATGGTACACCATATGTTTTTATGTAAGTGGTGGGAAATTTTATTTTTTAAGTTATTAACTTTTTAACATACATATCCTACTATTTATATAGTGACACGTGATGTACCACTCCGTGTATCGGTCATACTGAAAAATCTCTTCATGCTCAGAGCTTGATGGCAATTCCAAGGACCAGTCTTGTTAGGGTTGGAATGACCTATGAGATAAAAATTAAGATACTCAGCGTGTTTCTATTGCAACACAAATGCTACCGGCCTTTCCACTTCACCTGCCACTTTCTATTTCCCGTTCGTTTTTTCGCTTATATGTCCACCCTAGGTATACTTAGTAGATGTAGATGCAGCCTAGTATTTCACAAGAAATGAATGTTTTTGTTCTCGCGTTTTAAAAAACTTTTAAAACACTTTTGTTTCCAAGCGCTTACATTATTAAAAGTGCTTCGATTTAGAGCACATGGATATTTTTAATAAAACTACACGTGTTTTTTAAAAGAAGCACATAACATATAATGGAGTGGAGTTCGATAAAACTCACAAATTAGATTCATAAAAAAAATAAACTTAGAAGTTACATATAGAAGAGAAAAAAAACCTAAAACCTAAAAATTTGGAGGTGAATCTCAACTTTAAATTTCATCTAGATAGCTAGTCGCCATTTTTAAATGTTAAAGAAATTGAGATTCCATCATAAAATTAATTGTCAATATGAGGAGTAGTTCAACCTCTTATAAGCTCTTGCAAGGTTTCTTCTTTCACTAATGTGAGACTCTTACTTTCACATTCTCACATGCCCCATCACACGTGGCAAATTTTCAAGCTAAACACGTGGACAACATGAATTATGTGACGTGAAGTATGTGTGGCCATTGAGCTTCATACATGGGCCAACCTGGCTCTGATACCATGAAGAAGTTGAGGTTTAACAATAAAACCAATTGGCAACATGAGTAGTTCATCCTCTTATAAACCCTTGCAACGTATCTTCTTTCACCAATGTGAGACTCTTGGACCTTTACATTCTCACAAATATCCAAACCAGGAGGTGGAAAATTGAGGGTAGGGGGAGTGTGGTGGTGATGCTGTGAGGGTGGTAGTGATGATCACCATGACAATTGATGTACATAGAAATGTTGTACGCCTTTGGTCAATTGATTGTTTGACCCTTCATCGAATTGATGGTATAACGAGTTTAAGATTTTTAAATGGGTTAATGTATAAGCCAAATTTGCATTACACTTACAAAAGAATCTATTAATTTGATAGAGGATTAGATATTTACAGAGATAAAAAGTATAACTGATACATGCAATGTGAAGAATTAAAACCTCATGATCTATTTTGAAAATCATCCCAAGTCTAAAGGATATAATATTTAGTTTACCCATGAACAATCACATTGTTTTCTCAAGTATTGTGTCGGGCCTGTTGGAATAAAAGATCACATATTCATTTTTAATTAGGAGTCAACTCTTTTTTCTTTTTCTTTTTCTTTTTTTTGGGTTGTGAAAGATATGAAGTCAACTCTATTATTGAGCCCCGACGCGACAAAGTGATTTGCATGATAGGAATTGATAAAAATAACCTAAAAATGATTGAAGCTAAGTCAAATGTGTTTATTTTGTTCAGCTTGAAGGTCAACTAATATGATTGGTGCTTAAGTAATAAATTATCAATACATAAGCACTCAAATTATGCACGCTTGTGCGTTGCTTCTCTGCAAAGCTAACCAAATACAAGCTTCATCAATGCCTAGGTTTTTTTTATTTTTTATTTATTTTTGGTACATCGACATTTTTATATTAAGGGAAATGAGAGTTCGGCTAAGTCATATAATGGGTAGCCTAATTTGGTATCAAATTCGCCATTCACGAGATTCGAACCTATGACCTCTGACTTCCAAATTAAGAGGAATACCACATGACCATAGTACTGAGTGATTATCAATGCCCTAGTTAAATTCAAATGTAAACCAAATCATAAAATTATTATCCACCAAATTTTCCATATCTCATTATGTTTATTGTTTTTTATACAATTCTAATTTTTTTTTTAACGATTCTTCTTTTTTGTTTTTTCTGGTTTTAGTCTCTCGTTCCCTTCTTTAAGGACCCTTATAGACATGAATTGGTAAGTTGGTTAGATTGCTTATTTTCCTTGTATTATACAAATTATGAGGGTTGTAAGATAAGGTTTAATGCTAATTTATACTATTTGATTAGGGAAGTAGATTGACTTGCGTGCACCAGAAGATAACAACAATGTGATGGTCTTGCATCAAATGGAAAATGTTCAGTTCATTTTTTT